GGGGAGGGGAGGGAAGGGGAAGGGAGGGGAGGGGAGGGGAAGAGAGGGGAGGGGAGGGGAGGGGAGGGGAGGGGAGGGGAGAGGACAGGGGAGGGGAGGGGAGGGAAGGGGAAGGGAGGGGAGGGGAGGGGAGGGGAGGGGAGGGGAGAGGACAGGGGAGGGGAGGGAAGGGGAAGGGAGGGGAGGGGAGGGGAGGGAAGGGGAAGGGAGGGGAGGGAAGGGGAAGGGAGGGGAGGGGAGGGGAGGGAAGGGGAAGGGAGGGGAGGGGAGGGGAGGGGAGGGGAGGGGAGGGGAGAGAAGACAGAAACGGGGTGCAGTGGCCTGTGAACAGTCTTCTTGCCCCTTCTCCCGGGTCCTCTCCAGGGCTAGCCTCCAGCTCCCCGAGGAGACACCTGCAGACACAGCGCCTCCTGAAACAAGAGGCTGGGGAGACTTCCTAGCCCGGCTGAGAAGCTGCTTTGCCAACTGCAAGGTGCGGGACGAGAGGAAAGGCCTTGAGTTGTCGGCCAGCTTAGGGACAAGGAAGTGCTTCCTGAGGGCAAGAAACTGTCAGCCTGTGACAGGGGCTGCGGGGGCCGGGCAGTGAGGACAGTGAGAGGGGCTGTGGGGGCCGGGCAGGGAGGACAGTGAGAGGGGCTGTGGGGGCCGGGCAGGGAGGTCAGTGAGAGGGGCTGTGGGGGCCGGGCAGGGAGGACAGTGAGAGGGGCTGTGGGGGCCGGGCAGGGAGGACAGTGAGGGGGGCTGTGGGGGCCGGGCAGTGAGGACAGTGAGAGGGGCTGTGGGGGCCGGGCAGGGAGGACAGTGAGAGGGGCTGTGGGGGCCGGGCAGGGAGGACAGTGAGGGGGGCTGTGGGGGCCGGGCAGGGAGGACAGTGAGGGGGGCTGTGGGGGCCGGGCAGGGAGGACAGTGACGGCGGGAAGGAGTTGGCAGCTTCTCCCCGAGCTCCATCCCTCCACACCTCCTGCCTGTCCCCCGCCACAAAGCCAACCCAGGGCTCAAGCCGACCCCACATGTGAGGAGTGGGAGGACACGTGGCACCCTCACTCCCCTCGGCTGCTCACCCGGAGCCCCCTTTTCTAACGGGAGGTTCTTAGAGCTTCGCGGCACCCTTTCTCAAGGCCTCTTCAACCCTGCACAACCATGTGGTTGAGCTTGGTTCCCTGCCCCCGCCCCCTACCAGCAAAGTGACCCTGAGCGGCTCGGCTCCCTCTGCTGTTGTGGATGGATGAGGACAGCTGTGATCCTTCTGCTGCTGCAAGGGTTACCCAAGAGCCTCCCGGCTGGGAGCACTCCGGGGCAGCCTCCTCAATGTCCCCGGGAACAGCAGGCCGGGCTCCTGGGCCGAGAGGAATTCACCCCACACTGCGCAAGGGAAGCAGGGCGTGCTTGGGGTCCATGAGGGCACATGCACGGTCGTCTCAGCAGAGCATGCATGTCAAACTCTCGGCCGACGAGCCACATGCCTCCTCATGGCCTGCGAGTTTGACATACCTGCAAAAGAGCAATACAAAAGCAACGCCCTCTAACCTCGTCTTCTCTGGACCCTTTGGTGTTGACAACTTAACTCCTACTGTCAGAAGACACCCCTCGTTCGGCAGACCTTTCCCCATTCCGAGGGTGGGGGTGGGGCTCTTTCTGGCTCAGGCTGAGGCATCCAGGGTGGCATGGTTCTCCCAACGTGCTTTCCAAATACCGCTGATGCCAGCCCCATCCTGCAGACGCTCATGAACCTGGGATGAGCGGGCAGACAGCACTGTTGTGCGGCCAGGGCTGAGGACCACTGTCCCGGCACCTGTCACCGCTGCCCCAGGTGACAAGGGCGTGTCTCCGGACCGGAAGGAAGATGCCCTTCCAGCCGGCAGAGCAGCCTGTCACAGCGGGAGGGAGAGCCACGGCTGCTTCTCAGGCCATTCCCGCCGCAGCTCCCAACCATATCCCTGCTTCCGGAAGAGACATGACCTCCATCCACGTGGTCTCAACACAATTACTGCTTCGAGGCAGCGCAATTACCATGAATTATTGGAGAGGCAGCAAGAGGTGAGTTTTGAGGCGCAGCAGAATTATTCATCTGTTCTTTTACTGCAATTAATTTCTGTGGTGTTGGCCAAATGCCAAAAAACAAAAACCTAACACAAAAACCCTGCCTTCCTCACAGACTATCAGCAGAGATGCTGGTGCCAGGCTCTTGAGTAGGAGCAATGCTATCAAAACCTCTCATCCTCCCCCACTCAAGAGAACCAGAGTAAGACGTCCCTGGTGATAGGAGGCTCACTGCAATGCAGAGAAATCCAGAGATAATTTAGATTTTTTTCCAAGGCATCTGGTTCTCTCGTGAGTAGATTCCACAGGCTAAGACAGTCACTGCCACCACCCTAAGTTTGTGCTGGTTAAGGGGACAGTAAAGAAAGGTCTAGAACGAACCTATTTCAAGAGATTTATTGAAAAAAACATTCACAAGTGGTTGTCGCCATGAACTTTGGACATCCCACATCGATGGTACAGCCTCATGCAAGGAGTAAGATCGTTTCTAGGCAATGAATTCCTTTTCTGAGATGGCCATCTATGTTCAGTGCTTCACTGTTGTGAGCTGTGCACCGACCACCTCTCTAAACACATACCAAGGAGCAGTTCACGGAATGCCCTGAATTCCAAGCCACGGCAAGTTTTACAGGAACTTCAGTCCATGGAAACCAGCTGGAATCGGAGCCTTCGCCATCACTATGTGTGGGGGCGAGATTTCAGGAGTCGTTTCTCTGAAACTGCTGTTTACCTAGCTCTCCCTGAGCCCCGTCTGATACATCTGATAGGCCTCAGAGCATCGGCCAGGAAGACCTTGGCTTTCTTGAATTACACACTGGGCTTGAACAAAAGAGGTGTGTGTGTGTGTGTGTGTGTGTGTGTGTGTGTGTACACACAGCTTGCATACAGAGCCTTGACTTGTGCTAAGAAGCAAGCAAAGCCCGAGCTGGTTTGGTTCAACGGATAGAGCATCAGCCTGCAGACTGAAGGGTCCCAGGTTTGATTCCGGCCAAGGGCACATGCCTGGGTTGTGGGCTTGATTGCCCAGTAGGGGGCGTGCAGGAGGCAGCCAATCAATGATTCTTTCATCATTGATGTTTCTATCACTCTCCCTCTTCCTTCCTCTCTAAAATCTATTAAAAAAAAAAAAAAAAAAAAGTAAGCACACGTGGCACAGACAGAACCAGCGAGCTCTGCCCACCCCACTCAGGCGATCCATCACTTTCCAGACAGCGTGTTCGTGGGAGAAAGGCCCCTGGAGAAGGTACAGGGAGAGAGAGGGCTTTCGGATTTAATATACAGCACCTTACTCATGACAAAGGTATTTGAAGTGAGAGCGCTTGGTTCCAATCCCTTATGACCCAAAGCAGGCAAATCCCACCAGGTGTTTAATGTATCGTTCCTGTTAGTGAGCTCGTAACCATGTCTGAGGTGGTGGTGGTAGTGATGGACACCGGCAGCCATAAGAGGAGAATGAATGGGGAGAAGCAGAGACCACTCCCGGGGAGAAAGCTGCAGCGCGCACCAAGTTAAGAGCGATCAGGAACCAGAGGGGAAAGCAATCCCCAGGAAATAAAAACCACGTGTATTTAACATCTCCCTTCTAACAAGGAACGCTCTAAAAAGCAGCAGAGAAAAGTTTCAGGACAAGACTTTCTGCCCCAAGAGATTGGTTTAGAATTTCAAGACTCACCCCAAGTCTGCGTATCGAATGCCTCGCTGGGCAGGGCTGGGTGGGCATCGCCGAGATGTGATGTGAAGGAGAGCAGCCCCGGGGACTCTCCGTTTCCATCACTCTTCACACCAAGACAAACATGCTTCCCGTCACCCCCTCCCCTCCCCCTCCACTGCGTGAGAGGAAGTTGGGACACTAGGCAAGGTCTCATCTCTGCAGACGAGGAGCTGAACACATTCGCATATCCTGGAACTGTTATCCTGACAGACAACCCTTTGTGCTGAGTGGTCCATGCAAAAGTGTAACAGAAGTGAGGCCCTCAGGGAACTCCTAGGCGGGAAGGCAGACACTGCGGTGGCTGAGAATCTGGGGGGCAGGAAAGACGGATGGGCTCAGGGGTGTGGTGAGTGCCAGGGCTACTGGGGAGGCCACAGCATCTCCTGCCCACAGACCACCTCCTGCAGACTTTAAAAAGCAAAGACTGCCCTGGCCAGTTTGGCTCAATGGCTAGAGTGTCGGCCTGCAGACTGAAGGATCCTAGGTTCAATTCCGGTCTGGGGCACATGCCCAGGTTGCGGGCTCAGACCCTGGTGGAGGGCATGCGGGAGGCAGCCGATCAATGATTCATCATTGATGTTTCTCTCTCCCCCTTCCTCTCTGAAATCAATTATTTTAAAGAGCAAAGACTGTGTCTGCAGAACACTCCCCCACCACAAACACACACACCTCCTCCTCCTGCTCTCTGCTGCCCCGGCCCCACCTGGGCCTTCCCACAGGCCGTCCCCTCAGCACAGCACCTCACCTTCTCAGGAAGAGGAGCAGGAAAGGCGTCGTCAGAGAGTAACTGAGTGGTGGCTGGGGCTGGGGCTGGGGCTGGGGTTCGGAGAAAGCTGAGTGCGCATTTCTTTTCGGGCTGAGAGGAGTGTTATAAAACCCGAGTGTGGCAGCGCTTCACACCGTGAATCCACTAACATTATGGACTTACACACTCCACACGGCTGAGTTCCATGGTATGTAAACGATGCCCCAATAAAGCTGTTAATTATAAAAAAGCATCAGTTGTGTTTAACAATAAGCAACGAGCACGGGTCCAAAGGTGGGAGCACAGCTTTGCCGAGGACGCGGAAGCAGGAGCAAATGGACAAGACTGTTCAGAATCCCTCCAACTTTAATTGTGGGGCGAGATCAGGCGGCCGCTGAGGATAAAGCGCAGTCCCCGGAGCAATCACAAGGCTCTTTTTGTAAAGTGGACATGACAAGAGTTATTTTTTTATTAGCGAAGTGGTCAGAGTGGCTGAAATTGTCCTCATTCCTCCACTGTCTCCTTTTTACCAGTTTCTTGCCCCTCAAAGAGAGGGTACCTGGCCTCCACGTCGGCCCACGAGAGGCTGCCGCTGGCCAGGTCTCGGACGACGGCGGGCAGTTCGGAGACCTGGTGAAAGGGAAAGAGAGGGCCAAGCGTCAGCCCTTCCATCAGACTGTCAGGAGGGACTAACCCTGAACGCAGGAGCCCTCGCTGCCAAACCAGTGTTCAACAGTGACTGGAAACTAGTTCCCACAAGGTGTTCCTGTCCTTCCCTCTGCAGCCGCCTCACTTACCCATCCTCACCTCCCTCAACCACACTCACCTCCCTCTCAGGCCCGGGTTCCTGCTCTTCCAGCCCAGAACGCTCGCCAAGCCCCACAAAACCCCGTTCTCCCACAGCCTTTCCTCGTTTCCCCGTCTCCTGTCACATGCAGTGACTGCATGGGTGTCAAATCTAACTCTGAGAACAGGGGCCACCCCGGGGGCCAGGGAGGCTGGCACCCTGGGAGCCCCAGCTCGGGGGCCAGCGTGTGCCTCAGCCACAAGCACACACTGGCCACCACGCAGCAGCCCTTCTCAACCCTGAGCCCAGGACCCCCTGGAGATCTGGATGGAGCGGTTCTGCCTGAGCCTCCCCACCCCAGCTCTGGTCAGTGGGTCTGGGCGGGGCTTCTGCTCCTCGAACAAGCTCCCCGGTGATGGGGCCGCCCCCGCCCAGGCCCGGCCTCTGAGAACCACTGCCAGGCGGGCACGCAGGCCCGGAGCAGCGAGGCCTGGCTTTGTAAAGGACAAGCCAGACTTGTGAACTAGACTGTCGTCTCCTCTGGGAAGAGCAGTCTTTCCTCTGCTTCTCCCACGCCAAGCTCTCTGCATCGGACTGAGCGATCTCCGGGCCCTAAATAACAGCCTCCTCGAGATGAATAAACCAGCCAGGTGGTTGTCAATAAACGTGGCCACTCTTCCCTTCCCGTCTCCACTGTTACCTTCTCATTAAGTAAAATTACGATGACCACAGGCACTGTTCTAACAAGTTAACATAGAAAAGCTTGTGCATGCACATGTATGTATGTATGTATACAGAAGCGTCCAAGTCCCTCCAAACCTGCCAATGAAACTATGGCAACCACCGCGTGGGAGCCTATTGCTCTTGCCCAAATAATCAAACAACTATAAAAGCAAACTGCCGGAGAATGAGCCCAGAGTGATCCGAATGGCTATAAAACATTAGAGATGTGTTCGTGGGTATTTTCATAATGAAGCCAAGGGGACTTGGGAATCTGTGCTCTGTCTGATACAAGCCTATGATTAAATTAAAAAGGAAAAAAAAAAGGGGAGCATCAACATCCAGCTCGAATGAGAAGGAACCCGCACACGTTTCTAAGTCTGCAACGGCCAAGGGGAGGGCGGGCACCTCAGCTCGGATCTGCCGCATGGAGTCCCGGTCCCGCAGGGTGGCCGTGTGCGGGGTCTTGTTCACGGTGTCAAAGTCGATGGTGATGCCGAAAGCCACGCCGATCTCGTCAGTCCTGGCGTAGCGTCTTCCGATGGACCCAGAGGAATCGTCTACTTTGTGGGAGACGCCGTTCCTGGTCAGGGCTTCCGCTATCCAAAATCAATTAAAGAAATTCAAAATAAAATAATGGCGAGCCCCGGCGTCATCTACATGTGGCCTTACAAGTTGAGGAAACTTATAAGAGGAGCTAAGACAGGAGAGTAGTTCAGTTACAGACCCAACAGAGGGAAAAGCCCCAAAGGGTAGTAAGTCCCTTGCTGGAGCCCAAACCCTCCCTCGCACCTCACACAGCTGCCGGGTGGGGAACGAGCATCAGACCCACGGCCAGGGCCGGTGCCGGCTCCAGCACCTCCCCTGCGGGACCCGGAGCTGCTCAATGGACTCTCCGTTTCCCGGCACTGATGTAGGTGAGCCGCACGCGGTGACCACGGGGCTCCTGTCGGTGCTGGGGCTCAGGGGCCGGAGACCCGCTAGGAAGTGAGCTGGAGAAGCAAGGCTGCTTAGTCTGATCCCTGGTTCTGCCTCTGCTCACCCAAACCCCAGGAGGACACCTCCTGAGCAGCATGCTCTCAGAAATAAGAGCAGAGGCCACCATCACTGAGATTCTATTTTCTTAAAAAAAACACTTCCTACAATCCAATCTACTTGACAGGGTTCCCATGAAGGTTGCTCAGCTGGATTTGCTTACATAATTCCCTGACAAATGGCACGAACTCCTGGTTCTGGCTCAGCGGGAGGACGGAGCATTTGAATGGTGCTACCACGGCCGGGAAACTGAAGAACTAGATGAGAGAAAGAAACACAAATGTGTTAGTTCATAAAAATCTAAATGCTACTGTCCAAACGTCACTATCAAGACGGAAGGACACACGCCAGGAAAAGCAGTGTGACGACAGAGAACAAGCAGGCCGACCAGACTAGACCAGAACGGTCTGCTTTTAGCTCTGAATTCGGAACACTCAGCTGAGCGCTCTCTGACCCTTAGTCTCTCCCACCTGCTCTGCGTGCCTCACAGCGGTGCTGTGAAAGTTCAATGATGGGAAAGCACTCTCAAAGCCACCACAGAAGATGCCAATCTTTTGGTAACGCATAAAAAGCCTTATAGGCCGAAACCGGTTTGGCTCAGTGGATAAGAGCGTCGGCCTGCGGACTGAAAGGTCCCGGGTTTGATTCTGGTCAAGGGCATGTACCTTGGTTGCGGGCACATCCTCCCTAGGGGGTGTGCAAGAGGCAGCTGATCGATGTTTCTCATCGATACTTCTAACTCTCTATCCCTCTCACTTCCTCTCTGTAAAAAAATCAATAAAATATATTTTAGAAAAATAATAAATAAATAAATAAATAAATAAATAAATAGCTTTATAGCCTGGCTGGTGTTGCTCAATGGTTGAGCATCGGCCTAAGATGGTTTGATTCTCAGTCAGGGCACATGCCTGGGTTGCAGGCTTGATCCCCGGCAGGAGGCCTGCAGGAGGCAAACGGTGTTTCTCTCGCATCGATGTTTCCACCCCTCTGTTCCTCTCCCGTCCTCTTTCTAAAAACGAACAAAAAGCCTTACAGCCTTCCCTCTTTCTGTGGAGTCCCCTAAAGAATCTCCCTCCAAATGACCAAACAATAGGCAGGAGGCCCCGAAACAAAATCCCGTCTGTCCTTGAAGCGTTTCAGCAGGCCATCTCTGAGCCTCGGTGACCGCGTAAAAAAAGAACGTTTAATCAGCTCACAGCTGCCTGTCCAAACGGAGTCCATGACGCAGCGCTGGCGGCACAGTGGTGAGCGCAGATGCCAAACAAGTCCTATGGCACAAGCATGCTCTGTGACCCGCAGGGAGGAGCGCCGCCTCGCCCACTGCTCCGAGAGGCTGCGGGCGCTCAGCCGGGAAAGGAAGCGCCCTTTTCTGTGGAAGGCAAACTCGTCTGCCTTTCTGGGTTGGAAACGAGTTCTTTTTTTTAAAATATATTTTATTGATTTTGTACAGAGAGGAAGGGAGAGAGAAAGAGAGCTAGAAACATCGATGAAAGAGAGTCATCGGTCACCTGCCTCTTGCACACCCCCTACTGGGGATGTGCCCGCAACCAAGGTACATGCCCTTGACCGGAATCGAACCCAGGTCCCTTCAGTCCCCAAGCCGACGCTCTATCCATTGAGCCAAACCGGTTTCGGCGGAAACGAGTTCTTAAATAACATTTTTAAACAAAAGGTTCGCCTGAAGGTAAGAATATGAAACTCAGAATGAATAGGTCCCATAAAAATAATAACACAGGACCCAGTGCAGCCACCCCAAAACCTAATCAACTTCCGATGCCAAGCAACGGTGAACACCCACGGGGAGTAAGCCCCGGACGCCAGGGCTGCGGCTGCCGCGGCCACATGTTCAAGTCCGACCCCTCGCCTCCACCTGTGATCACTATTTGTGAGAGAGAAATTTAGGACCTGCCTTCCTGGAAAAAAGGTTATCTCACTGACAGTGTTTTCGTACCAAAGCCACAGGAAAATGGGTTAGGAACTCCATGCTAGTCATTTTAAAACATTTTTGGCTTCCCACAGCCTAATCAAATGACTCTTCATGACAGGAATCTCTGCAATTCATAAAACGCTGTCGCTAATTTCTTCCGGCTTAGCCCTTACATTTCTACCAGAACTCTAGTTTCATAAATATTGTTAGATTCAAAGGAACAGCTAAAAGGCTTTTTAAAAACCGATTTAAAAATAGACAGAGAAGCTTGAAGCGAACTTGACAGCTGCAAAGAGCACACTCCGTGACGGACGTCATCCCTGCTAGAGGAGACCAGCCTGCAGCCTGGTGTCAGCCTCGCTCCCTTAGTGAACGAATGAAAAGCTGCACCTTCAAATCAGGGAATGCAGATGCAATGTTAGGGCAGAGAACAAAATGGCGACTTTAGTAGCTACCTACTGCCAACAGTGAGTATGTCAGATGTACAGTGCTGGCACCAAGAGCTCAGCGGTCCGTTTTTTAAGGCTAAATGTCCCAGAAAGAGCTGATGTCCAACACAATGCACACTCAGCTTTAGAATGCATGGCCATGCAGATGAGAATGTTCCTCTCGGTTACCCTGACACAGACAGCTGCCATTCTCCCCCCGTCTGCTATGAACTCAGGAGTACACTGTCCGCAAGCAGAGGTGAGGTGAGAAGCTGAAGGAAGGCAAAGTGAGAGATTAAGTGGCAGACGTGGGCAGCGATTCAGAAGCAGCAGAACGAAAGGAAACTTATGCAGGTGACAGAGACTTCTTATAAATACTGATCGTTAGCAATGCTTGAGTGACAGGAAGGGCTAGCCCCAAGTGCCAAGGCCCAATGTAAGTCACCGGGGCTCCTATAAAAAACCAGATCCCTGGTGGACGGCCAACTGCCACCGTTTGCTGTTTTGTTGACAAATGAGTCTGCCGACCACTGACCCAGTGAATCAATATCCCTGAAACAGAACCTAGGAATTTATGTCTTTACCCCAAAAGTACCCCAGACAATTCTATGCCCTTTGGGGTTCCCTTAAATGCTCTATGCTTCTTGGTTTGGCCAAATTCTAAGAGCCATTCTTTCCTTTCCAGTTCTCTGAAAACATGAGTATAGCCAGAAAGTATTATTCCTTCCATAGATGCAACGAAGATAGTTCCCTCAAAGTGTTATGTTGTCTCAGAATAGAGAACACCAAGCAACTAAAATAATGGCATCGAGAATAACCCACACACCCGAAAGCTCCAGTGAAACAGCATGCGGCAGTGCACTGCTCTGTGGGCAGTTACACAAAGACGAGGAGTAGCAGCTAACAGGTCACTCAGTCTCCTTCACGTCCTGCAGCAAGTTTCATTCCCACCTTGTGAGAGAAGACGCGTGCAAGGGACAGCTTACCGTTCTCTGCTCGTCTCCCTCACGCACGTGGAATGTATGTTCGAATACTGTATACATGATCCTGCCCAGCCCGAAGGAGGGTTCGATTACATTCGGAACAACTTCTTCCACTGCAAGAGAGAGAAACTCAATAACGTCCTCTGAAACCCACGTGATGCGTCTCAGGGCCTCGCTAAATAATCCTCATTAGCACTAAGATGACCTCTAGTCTAGGTGAATTTGGATCGATTCTGTACATGAGAATGAAGAAACATTCCTGAGAATGATTTGCTGGTAGGAAACATGATGGCTTTGAAGAGAAAGTCGGAGTGAAAAACAACTTCATCGAATGTATTAGGTGTTCATATAGCACACCAGAGAAACCAGGCCCGAGGGGCTGCGCCCCCGGTTGGTAAGCTATGAACAACAGCGGCTACACGCTAATGTCCGCCGTGCCTCTGAAGAATGTCTGAAAACCCTGGAGCTTTTCTAAGATCTTGCTGGGATGGACAATCTATCATGATAGCTGGCAAATTAGCAAGAATGATTCCCACACCCACGAGGGCCAGTGGTGTGTGGATGAGAAGTCTGACAGAGCCAAGCTACTGCCACTGCTGTTCTGGAGCAGGTGGCCCTGAGAGAAGTGTGCTCAGGGACCAGCACTCACTCAGGTATGCACCAGGGCCCACAGCATTTCCCACGAGGGAGGGAGGCTGTAGCTGTGGGACCCACAAGAAATGTACTCATTAGTACATTTGACTCAGAAAAACAGCAGGCTAAGCACTGTCCAGGTCTAAGACAACTGACTTTAACTTTAGAGAGTTTACATTGCAAGGAAAATGAGTTAACTAGAACTAAAAACTAACATACGGGGAAGAAGAGAGAGCCTATTTAAGTTGTCTGTGATGAAGAGTTTTTGACGGATTTGCCTCAGCGGATAGAGTGTCGGCCTGCGAATTGAAGGGTCCCCGGTGTGATTCCAGTCAAGGGCATGTACCTTGACTGCTGGCACATCCCCAGTGGGGAGTGTGCAAGAGGCAGATAATCGATGTTTCTTTCTCACTGATGTTTCTAACTCTCTATCCCTCTTCCCTTCCTCTCTGTAAAAAAAGTCAATAAAATATATATTTTTTAAAAAGAATATCATTTTAGAAGCATCATGGAGGCATTTCGGCCCATCTTTCCGTGGCATGTGAGCAATGGCTCTGAAGCAGCTACAGGACGGTGACTAAGTAGCCCCTGCTCACTTCAGAGTGCTCGCCCAGCTCCCTGCGGCCCGGCTCCAGAGCAGGCCAGGCCCGTGGAAAAGCAGCCTGCTTTCTGCCTGGCATGAGCTCTCTACCCACCACTCCCCGCTCCCAGGAGCTTCCATGCAGCCACCATAAACCATAAGCATTCCCCTACGTTCCACAACACTCACTCCCAAACTCACAGAATTTGTTCTATAAAAAAATCATCTCCTTGGCTTTTAAAAAAGCCAAAGGTCACTAATCTTTGGATCACACGATCTCACACATCTAGAGGAAATAATGAACAACACAAACAGACCCAGAGAAAGAGAAGCAGCGATCAGACTCTCAAACCTCAGAGGGAAAGTAAGGGAGGATGGGGGTAAGGGGAAGAGATCAACCAAAGGACTTGTGTGCGTACATATGGGCCTAGCCAGTGGCCATGGACAATGGGGTGTGGGGGTGGGGCATATCTAGGAAGGGATTTGGGATGGGAATGGGGGAGTAAGGACAATTATGTGAGACCATAATCAATAAAAATAAATAAATAAATAAATAAATAAATAGATAGATAGATAGATAGATAGATAGATAGAAGGGGTGAAATTCCTCTTTTGCTTAGGAAGCAAAAGCACTTTTCCTTAAAATGAAAAAATATTTTAAATCAGAGATATTTTTGATTTGCACCTGAGATCATGGGAAATATAAAGATGGCATTATAAATTATTCTCCAGTATGAGTACAATTATGTTCTTTAAAAAAGGCCCAAGATAATGCCTTAAACATACTCATCAATCTTAGGGTTATGGCGTTAAGAATTTATTTTTCCTCTTCAAATTTTCAGTAAACTGGTTATGTAATAAAAGTAGAAAAACAAACACACACAAACAAAAAAAACCTTAAAGGAGTAATAATATTTTTGTTTGTTTCTTAATTATTTTTACAAATTTACCATGTAGTGTTTTCTGGAATCTCTTCACATTGACCATGTCTCCTGTTAACTGAAATGTTTTCCCTTCAGTTTCAATAGTGAATTCCCTACAAAGAAACATTACATATTAGTGAAAACAGGCATCCTTGGGCCTTCATCCAAAGAAGCTTTACAGACCGCTGTTTTCCATTTTAAGTGGAATACAACTTAGTCAACTCTCGAATATAAGAGCTGAAGCCAAAATTAAATTACTCCATAAGGAACACCAAAGTATTATTCTAACAAAGGCATCAAACAGTATTCTGGGAATCATCCCAAAATATGACTAGTTTTATAAAGTTCCCTAAGTGGCTTAATAACCAATTCCTTTGATTCTGAGATCAAGGTTTAAACCAAAACCAATGTTTTAAAAATTCAATTTTAGAATTACAATAAATTTGTCAAACACAGGCCTGCTGACAAAAGACCACTGTTCTCTTTATTGTCCCAACAAATACAAGAATGACCAGCTGGTCATTGTACAGAAAGTAACCTTAAAACTCCTGCTCCATTTTCCAAACAAACACTGGCATTTATGATGATGAAGATGAGCTAAAAGTTGAGTGATTCTGTTTGATGTGTCAATATAAAATATTACCCCGCTGTCCCCAAGTAACTGACTGCAGTATGTTCCCATCCTGAGACACACCCGTTCCGTTTCGGGCTATAAGACTAGGCATTTCCTCACAGCAGGAAGATCAGGTAGGGTCTCTCACAAGCAGCTTAGTGTTGGGAGAGAGGCCCCTCGGTTGTCTTTGAAGCTGAGTGGCAGACACGGGTTGCACTGCGTTCTGCTAGTTTCTTGCAGTGATGATCTCATGCATTACATGCATGATTTTCACTGATCCCTCCTCCAACTGTACATTCTGCCTGAAGTCTGTGCGTGTGCACTCAAGAGCCCACTCCACAAACCGTATTGTATATATTCTCTCTGCAAGCACGGCCTAAGTATAGAGTAGGTAATGGTCGTTAACAAGCTGAAATAAGCAAAGAGGAAGCAATTATTGGAGAATAATTAAAAAAGAAAACTGTCTTACTTATAGCTAATAATATCTAACTAGTGATCTATGTCCATTTTACTCCATTTTAGTAAGATCTGAAATAGATAACTGTATTCTCAACTTACAGGGGCTCAGCTTGCAATAGTTCTTTTGACGAATATGTACATGCACATGCAACCACCATCGCTCCAGAAGTTGCCCTGCCCCTTATCTCAATCCCCTCCAGCCCGTTAACCACTGCTGTGCCTCCCATCACTGTAAGCTAGCCCTGTCTTTCCCAGGACTTGGCATATAATCTTTTGTGTAAGACTTCTTTCACTTAGCCTAATGTCTATGACAGTTGTTGGCAAACTTTCTATATAGGGCCAGATATAAAATATTTCAAGGTTTGCAAGCCATACACAGTCCCTTGTATTCTTTTTCTTAACCCTTTGAAAATGCAAAATTCTTCCTTAGCCGGAGGGCTGTATAAAAGCAATATGAAAGCCTGGTCTGCATGACTCAGAGGTTGAGTGTCGACCTATGAACCAGCAGGTCACGGTTCGATTCCTGGTCGGGCACATGTCCCGGTTGCAGGTTTGATCCCCAGTGTGGGTGCATGAAGCAGCCAATCAATGATTCCCTCTCATCACTGATGCTTCTCTCTCTCCCTCTTCCTTCCTCTCTGAAATTAATATATTTAAAAAAAAACAGTATGAACAATGTTTGAAGTGTACTTAAAAATGTGCATTCTGGTTTTTAGACATTATATTACTGACATTAAATTAATAGTGATCTTCTACTTTCGTCTACTTGCTCTACAATTACTGAGAAAGGGGTGAAAAAATCTCCAACTGTAATTATGGATTTGTCTATTTTTCGGTTTATTTCTGTCAAGTTTGCCGTACTCATTTTGAGGTTGTTTATAGTTAAAAGTGATTCACCTTCCTAATGAACTGACCCTTTAACACTGTGAAATGCAACTCTACGCCTGATAATTTTCCTTGTTCTGATGTTTACTTCGCCTGATATTAATAGAACCACTCCAACTTTCTGATTAATGTTTATATGGGAACATTTTTTTAAACCTCTTTGTGTATAACAAGTACAGTAAGTTTCCTATAAACAGCATTTAATTGGGTCTTGAATTTTTCAAATAGTCTGACCATGGCTATTAATTTAAGGGTTTATAATAAGAGATTTTCAACATTTATTTATGGCACACATAAACTAATTACAGGCAATCTTTGGGTTACATTGGACTTGATGTTTCATGATTATGTTGCCATCTCCCATTTATTTATTAAAAAAAAAAGTTCCGTCATTTCTACATATGTACATATATGCTTTATGCTTTTTATTATTTATTTACCATAAGTAAAGGTCAGGAATTGTTATCTTTCTTTTAAATGTTTTTTACTGTTTCACTTCATTACTGCTGTGAATGTGCTCCAGGTGAGTGATGTAGGTGCTTATGTAGGTGGATTCCAACTTACGGCAAAAATCACATTACATCGCACCGTAGGAGCGGATCTCCGACATAACTGAGGACCTACAGCACTAAAATTTTGTAGCACACCAAAAATACATTTTTACCAACCTGACCAACAAAGGTATATTTTGATTTACAAATAATAATAATAATAATAATAATAATAATAGCAATTACTACCCTTTTTGCTCCAAAGTGACTTTTTAAAAAATCAGGTGCCTATACTTATAAGATTTCTGGTATCAAGAATTAGCCAATCAGACACAACCTTATTATGCTGCATGACTAATAAGATGCAACTCTATTGTATGATCTATATATTTATGGTTTAAGGCAGGGCATTCATACTAGAATGCTATTGTGTTGGCTGCTGTCATTTTTTATGGGACAATTTAAGGGAGAAGAGGTAGTCAGATAGTTTATGTCTTAAAAATTCTTGTGGCACACTGGTTGAAAATCGCTGGTTTGAATTATTAAATTACTGTAGTTATTAATACTGTTGAGTTTAAGTCTACCATCTCATGAGTTAGTTTGTATTTGTTCCATCTGTTCTTTGTTCATTTTTCCTCTTCTGTCTTTTCCTAGAGTATATTTTATTATTCTACTAGAGGCCAGCGATCGGGATCAGCCTGCCACGGGGAGGGACCGAGGGAAGTCAGACCAAGCAGCAAGCTAACCAACAACCAATTACGTGAGGAATCATGCTCCCTCTTCCCTCCTCCCTCCTCCCTCCTGTCTGGGTCCAGGGTGTGGGTGAACCAGATTCAGGGCTGTCGGGGCCACAGCAGCAAGGTCTAGGTCAGTGCACAATTGGTCAGCTACCAGCCAATTGTCCAGTCATTCTAGTCCTTTTGACATAACGGTCATTTAGGTCACTTTTATATATATAGATTTTATCTCCCTTCTTGGTTTATTAGCTATATTCCTTTGTTCTTATCATATGTGTTGTTTTTTCCCCCAGGGAATTGCTCTAGAATTTACTCTATGTACTTTTATTAATTTATCAAAGGCTAATTCAAGTAATATTATGACATTTCACTTATAATATACACACCTTACAATGGTCTGTTCTCAATGCATCACTCTCATCCTTTGAACTATTGATGGCATACATTTTACTTCTATATATGTTGTAAGATTCACAACACATCGTTATTGTTTTTGCTTTAAACAGTGCATTATTTTTTAAAGAAATTAAGAAACGTCATTTTAATGAAAATGTCATTTATATCTACCCATGTATTTAGCATTTCTAGAACTCTTAATTTCTTTGGGTAAATTTAAATTTCCACGTTTCTGCTAGAAGAATTTTTCACACTTCTGCTTGAAGAACACCCTTAACATTTTTTGCAAGTAGTTCCTATTGCTATATTGAGTTCCATAATCTTTTTTTCTGCAACCTTTAGTCCACTGTTAACCCCATTCAATGAGTTGAGATACTGCTTCTTGATATTCCATTGGTTCTTTCTCCATATATATTTCCACCTCTCACCTCATATGCTCATGTGCTCCCTGACGTATTTAGGCATATAAAGCATATTTATAACTGTTTTAAGATCCTATGTATTTGCTCCATCATGTTTGTCATTTCTGGGTGTTTCTTTTGATTGACTCTTTTCCTCATGAGGGGTCACATTTTCTTATGTCTACACATTTTTATTGCTTTTCAGACATAGTAAATTTTATACTCTTTAGTGCTGGATTTGGTTGTATTCCTTTAAAGATTCTTCTCTATTTTTTATTTTTTTATTTTATGCTTAAAACAATTACAGAGACTACTCCAAAGTTCAAAAACAGAGCACTGACTTGAAGGCAGATATGGTTTCTAATCCTTCCTTAGTCACTACCTTGGACAAGTCTCTTCCTTTAAAAAAGTTATTGGGTGGGGTTGGGGGGATCTTTGTAGTCCATTTCAAATCTATTTCTGGCGATAGTACCTAAATCTTGGCAAGCCCAGTCCTTTAAAAGTAGCCAGAGCTAACACTTACCTGCAAAGAATCTGTCAGACAGTAACCTCACCCTAACCTTCAGAACCTGGCAGAGAGGACGTATTTGCCCGGAGCCCATATACAAGCACACATCTTAAATCTTACCCTTTTTCATTCAGTAGTTTCTCCATTTCTGTAATGTAACACTCATCACAAATGGCAAGGTACTCCATCACCAACTTCGCATCCTTCTTATACGCCTTACCAATTGCTCCCTTATTGGGTTCAAACTGAACAACATTAACTGTTTTGTATGAAGTAGTCAAGGAATCAAAAATTGTACAAATACCTCAGTATTTTGGAAAATGATCTTGAGAATCACAAAATCATTCAAAGTAAGTAAACCCCATCAGTAGAGTTTTTTTTCAAAGTTAAGGAATAAATTATCTAATCAGCAATAGAAGCTGATACATACCATGATAACTTCTGATAGTAACACATTCATTTCTAAAACATTCCAATACCATTGGCCTACCCCTAAGATCAGCTCACAATTTCTACTGTGCTGGTTAACAGAACAAGTAAGCTCAATTATTGCTTTATCTACCATAAAATGACACCCATCTTTTGTTAGAAAATGTATTCATCAGGTGCTCTTTATGCAAAGAGTATGTAGGTAGGTGCAGATGTGGAGAAATACACTTTGGAAATGGGTGAAATGCCCTGAAAGATATTTAGAGCATTTTTCTGAAAATACTTCTTTTGAGAACCAAACACTGAGTGGGCACATGTCAGATTATACGTGGCGAGAATAGGAACGGAGCAGTATTGGGTGAAATAATAGGTTTAAGGAAGTATTACCCCAACATCAAACACCTCAGTTTATCCACAGGAACAAGGTACAGAGCTGGATTGTCTACTTCCAAGATGTTCACACGTTAGTCCTGAGCTGAGAAGTAACTAGAAAGGATATGGGCTCTCTCAGCGGCTTCTCCGCTACAAGTGGGACTTTGGTGGCTCGCGCATGACAAGAAAGATCATAACAGGACCGATCAGCACATCCGACTATCTCAATCCAGCCCTAAGAAGACAGGATGGATAAAAACATTTATTATGTTAGGTTCGTTCACAAACCCATGCAACTCTTTCACATACTCAAGGATGACTCAATTATAGAATCTCCACTCCTAACTTGTATAAACGTATGAAATGTGGATTGTCTTACACACCAGGCGGCTAACAACCCTATCAAACATAAATCACACATGTACACAAAGTAAATCTGTTACTTTCTGGACAGATTTACTTTGCCATGCTATGAATGTGGGCTAAACTAACAAATTCTAGGGCTTAATAGTGACAATAAAATGTGAACCTAGGGGAAAAAAACAGGTTTGTTTCAAATCTGTGAGCAGGATTCAAAATAAATGTGGTAGAAACTCCTCCGCTCTTTGAAGGAAGTGTCTACAGCTCTCACCACTCGTCTTCAAACAGCGGCTTCCCACCCACCAGAAAGACATTCAAGTAAGAGCAGAGAATGTTTAGGTCACAGACTAAAGCTTAATAACAGCATGGGTACCAGGTTCCATTTCTTGTTAAAACCTAAGACACTTTTCAAAAGCACAATCTAAATTGTTTTCAAAGACCCTGAAGAACCTGTTATTTAAACAAGAACAAAAGAGAGGTCAGAGGCTTATTTTAGTTCAGTATCTAGTTAGTCCTCATGAATATTTATTTTTTGCCTTTGATTTGAAGAGTTTGGGGAAAGTCAACCATCATGAGCTTTCTAAGTGCATGAAATAAAAAGAACAAATATAAAACTCATTTAAGCTCAGAAACCTCAACATAAAACAAGCCAGGAATTAAAGAACAAAACCTGAAAACATGTAACATGATAGTCACTAACACGTCAACTTAAATGTACATGCTAACTGTGTAAACTTGGTGGTTATCATTTACCAATGATGCAAATTAACCTATTTATGTACTAAGAGGTAAAATTACAAAATTAGGCCTGACAATGGTAAGCAACTTTAGGACAGTGGTTGCCGCTGAGAAGGAAGAAGAGAAGATGGAGCAGGAGCAGTATCAGTAACTATTTTTTAGTTAAGAACTTAACTATGAAGGGCACAGAAAGAAAGTATTAACGTTTCAGAGGCGTTCTCTCCTCTCCTAGATTCTGTTACCTGGGAGCTTCTGGTTTTGCTTGTCCTGTCTTCCAATGACCTTACACAAAACACTGTAGCCTGATCTCAATTCTAGGCCAACATCATTTTCTTAAAATTTTTTTAAAGTTTTTTAAAATTTAGGAATCATTTACAGATAATATATTTGTTTCACTCATACAATGTAATAATTTACTATTTATATATTGCAAAATGATCAGCATTTTGCAATCTATATATATAAAAGCCTAAGGGACCATCCAACTGTTGGCTATGATGCTCACTGACTACCAGGAGGCAGACACTCAATACATAGGCATGGAAACATGGAACAGACTGATGAATATCAGAGGAAAGGGGGGAGGAGGGAGAGCGGGAAGAGATTAACCAAAGATCTTATATACATACTAGAGGCCCGGTGCACAGATTTGTGCACTGGCGGGGTCCCTTGGCCTGGCCTACAGGGATTGAGCCAAAACCAGCTCTCCGACATCCCCGAGGGATCCCAGATTGCAAGAGGGTGCAGGCAAGCTGAGGGACCCTACTGAATTCATGCACTGGGCCTCTTGTATATATAATAAGTCTAATTAACATTCATCACCATTAATAGTTACAGAATTTTTTTCTTGTGATGAGAACATTTGAAATCTACTCTCTTAACAAATTTCAAGTATGCACTACAGTATTATGAATTGTAGTCACCACGCTGTCCCTTACACCCCCGGACTTACTGAGCCCACATTTACTGATCCCCAATCCCTAAAGGCATGGCCACAGCACTCAGAAGAGGGAGAGCAGGAATGGAGAGGATTTACTAAAGCCATGTAGCACAATGGTTGAGAGTGGGGCGGAGTCAAACAGCCTGGTCCTTGTCCCAGCTGCACCACTCACTAGCTATAGAGTGGAGCAAACTAATTAACTTCTCAGCACTTCAGTTCCCTCAAATTATTGTGAGGATTGCATAAGATAACAGGTGAAGCCCTTAGAATGTCATACAGCTCTTAACGATCATAAATGTTGAATGAATAAAAAAATACTAAATAAGATGAAATCCAGGCCTGAATAAGAGACAGCAAGATTCTGCGTCTGGTTTAACTTGAACTTAGAGTCAAAGCAGACTCAGAAAGGAAACTGGTATGGAACAGAGAGAAAAGGCTCACGGGGCTGAGAATGGCTTTTACATTTTTAAAGGGTTGTTAAAAAAACAAACACCCACCACCAACAACAAAAAAGATCGGCAACAGAAATTGTAAAAGCCAAAAAGATTTACTACAGAAAATGTCTAATTTAAAAAGAAACATGAAAAGCTTCGGGGGAGAGGCATACAAATGGAACTTTCACTTTCTGACATAAAGCACACTAAAGGCGATTTTGATATCCATGCTTCTAAGGTAACAATGTGAAAATCACATACTAAAAACCACCTCACGCTACTTACATAGGACGTTTTGGATTCAGCGTCCCAACAGTCACAGGCATAATGGGCCATCTCGTTCTCCATGTGCTGCCGGAAGCGGAGTTTATCTGGAGATACTCCAACCTTCGTGAGGTAGAGGTAGATGCGGCCAATGAAATAGCCTAATACTGAGTTGTTAATCACACCCTAAAATAAATGAGTAAACAAGTAAGTAAATAACTATACAAGCAAGCATGGAAGATAGAAAGAAACACATGTCAGCACTGTGGAAGGCCAAGAGCCATCTTCTATCGAGCTGTTCATGGTCTACTGAAAATACTTAAAATACAAGGTAAGCTAATTTATCTAGCTTTCAGAATCATCTCAAAACCCACTAAGAGGCTATTTTTAAAGGGGTTAATGTCAAGTTATCAAACTGATAATATGGGGGTTATTCACAATCTTTCTACCATACTGAGTCAGCAAAAATTCAACCTAATACCTATCCCTTCTAGATCTCCAATGCTAAAAATGGCATTCACAATAATGCCCTAGGAATGGCAAATACACTCCTTCCCAATTAACAAGAGTAACAGGACACGCTGAGGGGATTTTAATGTATTCCCAGCCACTGCATAAATCTGTGAGCCCGTATGGCATATGTAGTCTCACCATTTTAGTACTGGAAGGGTCTTAGAAACCATCTGGCCCCATTTCCTACCCACTGAAGGGCTCTTCTCAGCAAAGTGGCCAGCTACTTACCACCCAGCTTCTACTTGAATATTTTCAGAGGCAGGAACCTTATTGTTCCCTGGGGCAATTCACTCCACTATCGGGAAGCCATTCCTGTTAGAAAAGTTCTCACTCACAAATTTCTCTAAGCAAATAATTACAGAAATTCTATTATGTGTAAGACTCTCCCAATTGCTATGGGTAATAGAGAAGAGTTTAAAACCCAGAGGGCTTGCTCTCTGTGGGTCAATATGCCTCCCCGAAAGTAGCACACATTGCTAGAAGTCGGACTGATAAGGCACACAGTTCAACCCAGGATCTCTTTTCCACGGGGTCTCCTAAACATTGGTTTTCATGTTAGCCCAGTGGCCCACAAATGCTCATGTTTGGGTAATTTTCTCCCACTGTAATGACAGTGTATAATCAGACTGTATAAAAACAATAGGCTGACTGCTAAAATAAAATGCTTTGCCACCCAGTACACAGAATTTGCTAAGTGCTACAAAGCCTGAGTAGATATAATGCAAATTAAGTTACCTATGGAATCTTACCTGCTCAACAGCATCCCCGAGGCGCATTTTCCGAGCAGACTGCCCGCTGACTTGGGCTTTTGCCGAATACAAGTTAAGATGGAGGTCTGCCACATTCTGGAACTTGGGATGGTTTTTCTCGCTGGGGTCTACAAAGTGCTCGATTTCTGCCATTGTGAACTCTCTGAAAGAAAAATATAAGGGGCAAACGTTGCATGCTTAACTATAAAAAACAAACAAGGCCCTTGTTCTCAACTTAATTCTACAATGATGTGCCCTCGCACTGCAGGAATCTCACCACTAAGCCGGAAACTGTTTCCTAATGGAATGGCAAGAGAAAAAGTTCCATTAGTTTTGTCTAGGTGGTTGTTAATTTTAATTACACTCATGAAAACTTTACTACTCGGTATTTTAAATAAACAAACACAATCCAACTTCTCTCAGACATTAATTCCTTCTGTGTAGTGACAAAGATGCTTTACTTCACCAAGCCTTAGTCAGGCCCTGGACCTTCTCCGAGGCCCATCAGTGCAGTTCCTTGTAAAATCCAGTTTTAGCAAGAATCCTGCCGAAATAGTTCAATCAGAACCACTCCCGCTAGCTATCTCATCCTCCTCCTCCTCCTCCTCCACAATGCCCCAGGCAACGTCTGATGCCCTGGTTTGTCTTCAGCAAGAGTCCTATCAGGGCAGTTCAGCCAGAATCCCCTTACCCCTACTGTTCCTCTTAGTAATCCCCATCTTAATTAGACCTGCTTTCTGATGTAGCTAAACTTTTTCCAGCCCAGTGAAGTATCTCAACTTCTCTTTCAGGTAACTGTCAGCAGCGCAGCAGTAAATATCAACATGAAAACTATTATTGTAGATCACCCAGGGAGAACAAAGGGTGAAATATTTAACTGCAGCAGTGTTTGACTGTATTCTGCACAGTGAGAAAACCTGAAGTCATTTTCAAGTTCCATTATATCTTACTTCTTTTCAGTCAGGTCAAGTTTCTAAACTTTCTAAATCTTTGTTTTTCAGTTAATGAAAAGAAAATAGGATTCTACTGAGTCTTATAAATACCTACTCCAGGACTTCTGTGAGGAGCAACTGAGATGAGACACTTGGTTAAAGTTTTAAATGTTTCCACCTGGCTATAAAGCAAGTGGTGTTCCTGAGCTGAAGAAACTCCATGGAGGCAAGTCGTAGCTAGAGAGAGGAAGCCAGGCCTTGCTATGTGATGTCATTACCTGGTGCCCAGAGACACCTTTTGCGGGCTGGGCTGGGCTGTGGGCCATATTTTGTGCCATGGGGTCTTGGAAGCATTGACTGTGATTTGGTGGGCTGTCACTCTGGGGTGGTAGCAGGGCCTGTGTCCCACTTGGGGGAAGCCCAGTGTTGCTTTGTTGGTTCCAGGTCCATGGTGCCGTTTCTTTGTAAATGGCCAGTGTATGTCATAGCAGCTCCTGTATTGAGCATCTGCCCCCTGGTGGTCAGTGCACATCATAAAAATTGATGGGACATTTGGAGGGATACTTAGCATATTAGCCTTTTATATAGAGAAACCAGTGGCCCCATGCATGAAATTTGTGCATGGGTGCGGGGAGGAGTTCCCTTAGCGCGGCCTGCACCCTCTCTAATCTGGGACCCTCTCAAGGATGTCTGACTGCCAGTTTAGGCCCGATCCCTGAACTGGCAGTTGGACATCCCTCTCACAATCCAGGATTGCTGGCCCCTGACCTCTCGCCTGCCTGCCTGATTGCCCCTAACCACTTCTGCTTGCCGACCTGATCACCCCCTAACTGCTCCCCTGCTGGCCTGATTCACCAGGGGTCAGGGGACATACCCCCTGTGGATAATATTGGGAGACTGCTGTACTCAGAATTGAGTCCTATTCTATACTGAGGTCTCTCTTTCCCTATTGCAAGTGTCCTGAATAAAATCTTGTTTTTACTATTTTAATTACTATCTATTTCTGTTTTTTCTTTGACACTAGATGCAACCACAAAAGATTATTACTTTTAATGAAAAATAATTTTTTAAAGAACAGATAAGTAATTTTCAAAATTAGGAAAATTTAAGCAAAAATCAGACACAAAAAGAAGTAAAATACGGAACTGACTTCCAAATAAAATAGTTTTCCTTAAAGCATTAACAAGTCTGTATCTACAAGCTCCGGATATTTACTTTTCAAATAATGAGATATCAATAGTGAATTTAAATTGTTCTCTAGCTTTAAGAGTAGTTTGATTTCTTTTCTTTTTAAAAAAAATATATTTTATTGATTTTTTACAGAGAGGAAGAGAGAGGGATAGAGAGTTAGAAACATCGATGAGAGAGAATCATCGATCAGTTGCCTCTTGCACACCCCTACTGGGGATGTGCCCGCAACCAAGGTGCATGCCTTTGACAAGAATCGAACCTGGGACCTTACAGTTCGCAGACCGATGCTCTATCTACTGAGCCAAACCGGTCTCGGCTGATTTTTTTTTTTAATTGCTCTGAATAAGTAAATGACTGACATAGCACCATACAGCTGGTTTCTTTGGAGTAACAGCTTCCTAAACAGTGTTATTCAAGGCAGATGACATAAGGCTTGAGTTGAACAAGCTAACATCAAGCTAACTGCTTCATGACAAAATAAATATGCACATAGTAATGGTTTTCCAGAGAGATTCCTCTGAATGCCAATTTAGTAACTACTGTAGGGAAAAGTGTTTTTAGATAATTTTATGAGTAAAATCAGGTCTTTTTTCTTTAAAATACTCACATTTACTTGTACATTTTCATGATTATCTCAGATGTTTTAGAAGTAATGAAGAATTGCTTAAGTGGGCCTAAAAACACATGAAATGCACTGCAAAAGAACTTTAATATTTAAATTTAATGGTATCTCTTAGTCATGCAGCACCTATGTCTAGATTATCTTTCAACAACTACAAAATATCGTCTGTGTGCACAGAAATATAAGAGAGAGAAGCACAGTGTCTGACCTCACAGAGCTTAGAACTGGGCTGAGAAACAGAACATCTAAAATGGAAGGCAGAGCCGAAACCGGTTTGGCTCAGTGGTAGATCGTCAGTCTGCGAACTGAAAGGTCCCAGGTTCGATTCCGGTCGAGGGCATGTATATTGGTTGCGGGCACATCCCCAGTAGGGGTGTGCAAGAGGCAGCTGGTCAATGTTTCTCATCAACGTTTCTAGCTCTCTATCTCTCTCCCTTCCTCTCTGAAAAAAAAAAACCAATAAAATATATATTTAAAAAAATAAATAAAATGCAGGGCAGATCGAAATAAGGGCCTCGCCCAGATTCCCAAAACAATCTGCTGACAAAGTCTTTGCATCTGTGCTGTCAAACCATCCCACTCACAGACGGGAGTCGGAAATCAACACTAAGGCCGATTTTACCAGCTGCCTCCTGTCTGAGTTCAGAGAATGTACCTGGGGCCATGGAAACTGAAATACACACAGGTCCAAACTGGGCTCACTGTTACTCTGTACAGGCTCTTTCCTCCAGAAGTCTCCCCTTCTAGATTCTAAGGCTAAGGGCTTATAGGCCTGGAGATAAGTGTGGTCAGAACACAGGCCGTTTCCTCAGAGGGAGTCAGGGGTGCTTTGATGTAGAGTCTGTGGCTGGGTTATGCTGTGACTGAAGTCTGTAATTACAGCAAGGAAGAAAAGAAGTGGGGCAGTGGGACTGCAGAGAGCCTAAGATTTGGCTTTATCTACATATCCTATTTTTTAGACGGAGTTTATTGCTCTAAGATAGTGGTCGGCAAACCGCAGCTCTCGAGCCTCATGTTGCTGGCAAGCCGCAGTTTGCCGACCACTGCCCTAAGAGATGACATCAGTGAGAAAATACATAAAAATCCCAAAAAGCTTAAATCATAAACAGATAAGTCATACTAAGTTTCCAGAAGAAAACGTAACTAAATAGTGCCCGCACACCTTCCCACACATTCCTGGACACGTCTGACAAAGGGAGGGCGTTAGAATAGAGCCTCTAAACAAGAGCGGACAGTAGTCAACTTGCCAGCTGGCCTGTCAGATAGGCCCCCCAAATACCTGGAAGAACACAGCTGGTTACTGAAACACTTCTAACCCCACAATGCTGTCCTGGAATGACCTTCCTGTCATAACCATCACCCCATCCGTACCTTACCCTGCTCTTATTTGCATCACCAACACTAGAAAATGCTTTGGGTTAGATAATCAATGTCTTGCCATCCTCAAACCACATGATGTCTGTCTCAGCCAGTGCAGCTCAGTAGTTGAGCATTGACCCATGAACCAGTAGGTCACGGTTCAATTCCTGGTCAGGTTACATGCCCAGGTTTCAGACTCAATCCCCAGTAGGATTGGACCTCTATGTATTTTACTTTTCATGGCCCAGGAGGGGATGTGCAGGAGGCAGTCAATCAACGATTTGCTCTCATCACTGATGTTTCTATCCTTTTCTCCCACTCCCTGTCTCTGAAATCAATTTAAAAAAATTTTTTTTTAATCTTTTTAAAAAATCACAAGCACATGATGAACAAGGGGAAAAGTCATTTTGGAGCAGGGAAGACACTTAAGTTCTTCACCCTCCCTGCCCTTCCCTTCAAGTTCACTTTCGTTACTCACAGCTGCCAGTCATCCCAGAGATTACATCTGGAGATACAAATGTAAAACATGCTTTTTTGTAGCATAAAAATAATTACATAATCATGAAAGAATGAAGCAGAATAGCAAGTTTTCATGTCCAATTCAATGCCAAGGTCACTTACTAATTTTACCAGAAGAACAATGTGGGCAGTACCTGACTCTGATCAGTCCAGACCGAGGGGAGATCTCGTTTCTAAAAGAATTTCCAATCTGGGCAGCAGCAAATGGCAACTTTCCTTGGTTGAATTCCAAAAGTCGTTTGAAATTCAGGAAAATCCCCTGTGCAGTTTCTGGTCTCAAGTACCTGTACATTAAAATCAATCAGTCGGTTATAAAGAAATTAAGTTTTCCAACAAATCTGAAATTCTAGATGCAAATCCTAAAAGTCCTAAGTGTACTATTTGCACAGAAAGCTGTATGAGCCCTATAACAAAGTTTTAGAAATAGGTATTTCCTCGGTAGCAAACGTTACCAAGCAAGTATGAGAGAATGCATTAGGGAACTGGTAGGGCAATACTCTGATAGAAATGGCATTTTATGTAACTACTCCAGTGAATCAAATACCACCCCTCTCACCGTGTCCCTAAAACACCTGCCCTTCTTCCTGGCTAACCATTACATGGAGGCAGATGGCAGTTCCAGATCCTTCTGAATACCAGACCCACACCTCAGTGTACCCACATGTGAAAGCATAACTGTGGGCCGAAAAACAAGCCCATGTGAGCTACCCTTCCACACGAGCGCTCACTCATCACAGCATCACGCTGAGCCAGGGAACTTTCGAGGTTTCTCATGTCATGTTCTTCTTCATGGTGCTTTAGATTTTCAGCCAGAGGCTTCTAATATTTCTCCATATGCTAAAGATAGAGCCAAGCAAATATCCCTTATCCCTCTTCTGAACTTCACAGAGAATATTCTGTGAAGTGCAAAACAACTCAGAAAGCGTTCTCAACAGCCTACTTCATAATACGTATTTTATGGAAACAACTCTACAATGAAGACAAAAACAATAAAATTCTACCCTCATCTCTCTTACACACCAAACGCCTTTGATTTTTATCCTCCTTTGCACATTTCACCCAAACAGAAGTACAGCTACAGTTATATGCAGGTTTTTAAGTAGGATGTTAGAAAATTATGCATTCTTTCATTTATTTTATACTTCTCCAGTTTCTAAATAACTGAAAACTTCTCATATTCAAGAACTACAGAGTATTCTACCGAAATGTTCTACTTTGTGTCATTTATTTCACCTTCCCCAAATTATAGAATAAGTAGGTTAGCTGTACTTTTAATTTATACACCCTTGACAAGTATCACTTCCTTTCCTTTGGAGTTACTTTCTTAGATAAATTCCTAGGAGTGGGAAGACAGACCAGAGGATATGGCCCGTTTTATGATTCTGTGTATGTATTGCCAAAATGAAAGGCTTACCTCTTGGCCTCTCTCCACAAATATCCCAAGTCAGCCCTGTGTCTCAGTAAAGTAACTTTAGTAACATTGTCTCAATTAATTTGTATTACTCTTTAGTTTCTACTCTAGAAAACATGATCTATTTAACTTCATCTTACAAAAACCTACCCTTCTCTTGTCCTTTAAAATGAGACCATTAAGTAAAGAGATAGATAAAATAAGTGAAATATAATAAAATGAGACCATAAGAAAAATATCTGGAGCTATGAAATGGAAATGGACAAGGAATCTGAAAATATAGAGCCAATCTCTGGGTCATACTATAAATGGTCCAGGTTTTCTCTACTCTGTGAAAATCAAGTCTTTCAAATCAAAGCTAAACTGTGCTGTCCGATGTAGTAGGCCACTAGTCATATCTATTTAAATTTACATTAATTAAAATTGAATGAATCTTAAAATTTCTTCCCTCATGATGGGCCTAGTTAAGTGCCCATCCCTGCAGGCCGTCTGCTGGACAGCACTCATCTGAACTGAAAGGCTTCTCATCTCCTTCAGCAGTAAGTTCTGTGACTTACAAATCACTCTTCAACTGTCTTTCCTGTATATGCAGTATAACTAGAGGGGATGATGATCAGACCTTTTATGTTTATTTTCTAGGCCAAAACAACATATATACTAAAAAACTAGAAGAAATAAAATGTGTCTGTCATAATTTTTCCTTAATATATTTACCTGCACTTTTTATATATCACTTTCCATCATTTTCCCCTCATGGCTAATATTGATATTTACCTTTTAGGACAAGCAATGTTAATAACTTTGACACATAAACAACAAATGATACATACCCAGGCATGTTTCCTCCAGGCCCAATGTAGGTTTTGAACATTAAGTTAAAAGCTACTGGAGGGGAGAGGTCATTTCCAGTAATGGGGGATTTTACATTATAGTTCACAAAAAGATCCCCAAGCTCTTGCTGTCCATAGTTATCAAGCTAAAGAACATGAAAAAAAAAAAAATTAGTATAAAAGACTGAGAAAAAAACCAAGGCATAAAATATTATGTATTAAACCCCATCCACCGTTAAAACTCACCCAAAATAACCTTCAGCTATCCACATAAAACCATAACCAGTTTACACGAATTTCATTTACCAACAGGAAAATGAAGTATCTTTCTGGGAAGGATCTAAAACTCAACATTCATCAGAGGTTCATTTTTTTGGGTCAGCAAAAATGGACAGAGAGGAGAAATAAGAGAATTAAATCCGGCTGCTGAATCCACGTAACAGGAATAGAGATCTTCCTACCACCAAAGGGAAGCCAGTGCCTTTTAAAGAACCTGTCATGCTTTGCAAAGCTGAAAAGGAGTCAGAGGCACTAAAATGTGCTCGCGTAAAGGATGGGCCATCAGGGTCATGTCTAAGGACTAGGCCACTTCCCACGGGTCCCCAACTTCTCACTGAAAGTTACACTGGCAGCTGTATATATATGAATCTGACATGACAAATCAGAAAACAGGCTGCTCTCCTAGAACATGGATCTGGGAAGAAACAGGAAGTCAGTGCTCAAACTATAAAATATGACTTAACAAATCAACGAATTACTTCCTCCTTCTGTTAAGTTACTTGGAAATAAATGAAACTGTTATGATCAAAGACATACACACAAAACCTTGGTAACTCTAGCATTCAGAATAGGAAACAGTAATTTAAGGGTAATTAGACATGTGTTTCATATCTTTTTCCTAATAATAATAAGAATAATAAAGTTCATGCCTTTGAGGGGAAAAAAGGAAATAAGAAATAAATGTGTAGCTATAACAGTGTCAGAATACAAGAATTGACAATGAGCTTCAAGCAAGGAATAAGATATACTTCATGAGAACCTAAAATAAATGGCCAGATTAAGAAGATTTTCAATTTAAATGAAGGAGAAAATTTCTCCACTAATGTTGGAAAGCTAGATAGCACAGAGAAAAATTAGCTCGTTACAAAACAGATAGGGCAACAGTGAGGAAATACCCAGTAAACTCTCATGAGAAAAGAGGAAAGGGTTATGTTCTCAAGTGATCTGTGACCCACACAAAGGGTAACATCTAGTTCTGCTATGGAAGGTATTCCCACAGTTGGGAAAAGTCAGAATAGATTAATTTTATGGTCTCTTCTATCTTCCCTAAAATCAGTCAGTTTGGCTCAGTGGATAGAGCGTCGGCCTGCGGACTCAAGGGTCCCGGGTTCAATTCCGGTCAAGGGCATGCACCTTGGTCTCGGGCTCATCCCGAGGGGGTGTGCAGGAGGCAGATGAACGATGTTTCTCTCTCATCCATGTTTCTAACTCTCTATCCCTCTCCCTTCCTCTCTGCAAAAATCAATAAAATATCTATATATTTTTTAAAAATCGGTCAGCTTAAATAGAAATTTTAAAACTGTATTGGAGGCCGACCCATCAGATCCTAAGAATGATATAATAGGGCAATCAGAAGCAGATCAAGTGGCTGACAAGAGCATTCTCACAAAAATATCTACCCCCAAATCTCTACATCTACACTGAACCCTGCTCGTCATTCAGCCCCCCTCTGGTTTTTGCCATTAAACCCAGAAAACGGGTTTCAAGGAGAGAGAATAAATTTTATGCCTATTTAATCAAACTTGCTGGTTTTGGCTAAAATAAAGGGTTAGCCAAAAAAGTAGAGAGAAGAAAATAAAAATGTAATTGGAGATGCTATGAGAGAGACAGGTAAACTTGGCTTGTTGACCACCTTGGCCAGGGTCGGCACCAAGTTGAGTTCGTCAGTCATCGAATGGCGGGAGAAAGACAGCACCTACCTGAGGTGCTGTGACAGTGTCTCTCAAGAACTCACCTGAGCCAAGACACTCTCCATCTCTGATTTCTTCTCGGCAGAGCACTTCTTATCAGACATCAATTTCTGTAAATGAGCTATAAGGCATGTTGATACATGTCAATTTCAATCAACGGAGAAAGGGGCAGTCTGTTTTTTTCTTCTATTTTGGGGACAGTATATTTTTTGGGTTTCAATACTAGATAGGTAAAAAGAATGTCCTAATTGATATGAATCACTTGGTTGATTAACAGGGAGTCATGATACGAGCTTGACCCTTTTGCTGACTTAGAGAATTTCTAATTATCTGTATACATTTTTTTAAAGTAAGGGATTTTTATCTGTATACTTAAGATCCATGTACTTTTTTAGCCTTTGTATATTATGCACCCAAAAAAATTTTAATAGAAAAACATTGAGGAAGGTTTCATCTAAACCCTTTGTTTTGATCAATCCTACCTGAGATGAAGAACCATACCTTTTAATAGGTGGTCAGCACGAAAACACTCTCCATTTTTCACATCTTTCACCATGAAGTCCGCAAATTTGTCTACATGGCCGGAAGTCCTAAAGTAACAAATGCCAAACCAGTTTGTCATTTTCATACATATTAACACATGGCTTTTACCTTATAAGACAATCCCCTTTTTATATGCTTATCCATAGTGTGTATGTGTGAATCTGAAAGATGAAAGCGTCCACATCTATAGTGATGTATCCATGTAGATGATAATGTATGCCAGAGAAAATTCTTCCTTCCGGTAGGAAGAAAGACATCACCTAGGTTACTCTTTTTCACAAAGTCTGTGCTACTTTGCAGAATCAATTAACTCGCACCTATCCTATTATTAGTTATAATACAAGCAAAGGCCAAACCATGGCAAACATGGCTAGCCAAGAACTCCTCTCATCCTGTATAATAAAAGCGTAGTATGCAAATTGTCCCTCAACCTGGAATTCATCTGGGAGTCTGACCAGGGGGTGGGGCCAGCCAGGGAAGGGAGGGAGTACCTGGCCAGCAGCAGGCAGCCACTAGGGACCCTAACAGTGCATGAATTTTGTGCACTGTGCCCCTAATTATAGATAACGCACCTTGGTTCTCTGCCCCTGAAACCTGCATGGACACGGTATTATCTCTACACAGTTCCCATTAGTGGAGCAAGTAGCTCAAGAACAGGTTCTCCTGATCTTTCAGATCCATCATCTAGTCTTAACTGGCTGAAATTATTAAGAGAAAGCAGAGGTCAGAAGTGGGGAGGAGGGGTGTCAATAGGGAAAAAAGGGGACATCTGTAATCTTTCAATAATAAAGATACATTAAAAAAATAAAAAGAGAAAGACTAAGGGATGCAAACAGCAAAAATTAACTCTTTATCAGGCAACATTAAATGAAGTGATATACAAAATGGCAAGAATTCCTCTTTCAGTTTTACATTCAAACGATTCTGCTCTGCTTTCAACAATACTAGTAGGAATAATCTAAATGTCTGCATTGAAACTTCAATACAAATAGCAGTTTTTGATTAAAAATGTATTTACACCTTTGCCCAGAATTTCTAAGAATTTATACTAAGGAAATAATCAGGGATATACACAAAAATTCATCTATCGGCATGTTTAATGCAATAAAAAATTAGAAACTACTTACTTGCCTACAATGTGTGGATTAGCTAAATAAAGCACGGCACACCCATAAAACAGGATACTACTATGCTGTTATTAAAAATGCTTTAGAAAACTAAGGACAGAAGTCAATGTTCACCTATGTTACATAAAAACAGCAGTGTGCTACCAACATGGATACACATAGAGAGACTTAAGAGAAAAAAGACAGGAAGGATAACTACAGTGACCTTAACATGACTATCTGTGAATAGTAGCTGAATACTTTCTGGGTTTTTTCCCCTAGATTTTTATAATGAACATGGGTAGCTTTTTATAATAAAAAAAAGTTCTTAATTGTGCATTTTAAAGAATCTCAGCCCTCAAACTATAAATCTTACTTTAAAACTGGCTCCGGGGTGAGCATGGTGCAGTCAATTTCTAGGATCTGCTCCTCTTGGATAAAGTGCTGCCTCCAAGTCTGAATAATGTTGTTCTTCAAAGCACAGCCAACGGGCCCAAAATCGTACAGGCCACTGACACCTGCAAAAAGGGAACAAGGGAAACATGCACGTGACCCTGTCAGGCTGAACAAGTAAAGGCAAGGAGACATGGGACACGGATACCTGTGAGACTCCACATACTCCCTAGAAATGTGTTCAAGTCAACATTCGAATCTTTCAGTACTAAGAGCCTTCCCTCCACTAGCTGACAGAGGTAAAATTAAAAAGCTCCTACTCGTTTACTTTTGCCATATTAAGAATTTCAAGTAGAATTAGAAAAAAAAAAAAAATGAAAGCAAAAGAAGTTTGTCCACGTACAAGAACAGAATGAATAAAAAAAGTTTTCTGCCACAGAAATTAGACAATAAGTTCTTGTTTCAAGTGATAATAATAATTTTAGCACCCAATTCTCTCATTTATTCTTCGGAATTTGAGCCACTATATAAACCTCACAAAGTTAAACATTGAGAGATCTGTTTAGCCAAACTTGAACCGAGTCTTCAAGAATAAGTAGGGCAGAGGGAAATAAAAACGGAGTTCACATCAAATGGTTGACACTAAATAAACGAAAGAAAAATATCCATCCTTTGCTTTAGGTGACCTCAGACAAGGAGGTGTCCATTGGAAGCTAGTTTTTACTTAAGAACAATATTAAAGCCACGAACAGCACACCTGTTCTTTCCATCACTAACCCCCTACCTCCATAAATAGCAAAAGCTTGATCGTAGAAAAACCTCCTCTTCAGGGTATCTTCCATCTTTGCTCTGTCTACAATGTCATCTTTGGGCTGTAATGCCAGCTCCTACAGGGGTTTTTAATGGAGAACGTGATTAGAGAGAGGGATGCGTAGTAACATGAATTTACACATGTGAATTTAGTTTACTCCTCAGCAAAACTCAATATAAAATTTATCAGACAAGATTTTGATATCCTTAAAAAATAAGAGACCTTGGGGTTTCCCCCCATCTGAGTTACAGAAAAGATATCTTTACTTAATTATTTAGGAAAAATATGTGATCATTTCCAAGATTACAAGACTAGGCTTACTTAAGTGCAGATACTGATAATATCTAAATTTGTAGTGGATCATAGTAGCAAAATAATGACTTCAAACACCACACTACTTCTGTTTGGTGGTGGGAGATTTATCGTTTGAAAGATTTGGGAGCAGGTATCAGATGGAGAGACCCTTTCCTTAAAAGAAAACACAGAAATGTCAATACAAAACCATTCTTCCCAGGCATGGGAGATCCCCTGAGGAAGAGAAGCACTGTGCCTCCCATAGAGATTCATCGGGCATGTTGAGTCTAATACATGGCGAAGGGATAGGTCAGGGGTCAGAGGGCTTCAAAGAGAAGGTGAGATTTTGAGTTGCACCCTGAAAAAAATGAGGCGGGGCAGAAGAGGAGAGGAAGGCATCCGGATAAATAGAGATAAAGCAAATGAGACTTGCTATGAGAGTTTTCTATGTCTTTCCTACCCACAGAGATGAAATAAAGATGGACAATCCTATACCTACTTACGTTCCTGTTTTAGAGTCTCATGGCTCACCTTTGCTTCCAGAATCCTCTTTCGGGCTTTGAGCTCAGCTACCGCTCGGTCCACATCGACCTGGGGTGCTTTCTCTTCTTTGAGTTTTCGCACAAGATCTCCCTGGCCAACAGAGAGAATGTACGTTCAGGACTGGCTTCAGAAGCCAAGAAAAGTTAGCAATGCGTCTCCGAGCACGCCTTTTAAAAGTATCTGTATAGGAATAAGGCCGTTCAAATGTCCAGTATATGAGAGGTCATTAAGAATAATTGAAAGCCTCTGCCCTCAGCATTTATAGCCCAGCTGAATATTCAAACAAGTGCACAGGGTTTAAAGTGGTTATTACTACTGTTTTAGAGGTGGGGAGGGAAACAGGCGAAGAGGAAGGAGAGAAAGGCATTGATAAAACGAAGGAAAGAGCAAGATTAGTATAGAGAACACAGAAGGACCAAAAAACAGACCCATTCTCTCCTCGAATCTCTCTCTTCTCTACCTACAAAAAAACCACCGTCTTCGTCACTGCAGGATAGTAATGGAATTCCAAAGCACCTGGTGTAAAAGGGGGCACGGGGTCTCAAAGTTCAGAGTCACTGAACTAGCTCCATCTGACCTCTCTAGCCATCTTCTCTCGTTATTTCAGCTTCTTCATTAAACGTACAATATCTGAAATCGCCCTATCAATGCAGTGGCTTACTTACGTACCTGCATTTTATCTGTCCCTGTCTTAAGAGAGGAATTATGGCACTTAAACAGAATTCTGGCACTCAAAATATTTGTTGCCCTAACCGGTTTGGCTCAGTGGATAGAGCATCGGCCTACAGACTGAAGGGTCCCAGGTTCGATTCCAGTCAAGGACATGTACCTTAGTTGCGGGCACATCCCCAGTTGGGGGTGTGCAGGAGGCAGCTGATCGATGTTTCTCTCTCATTGATGTTTCTGACTCTCTATCCCTCTCCCTTCCTCTCTGTAAAAAAAAATCAATAAAATATATCTTTAAAAATTATATTTGTTGACTGATATCACAATCTAAACCTAGCACAGTGCCAAGCACTTAAAGTTCACAAATATTATTAAGTTACTCTTTATTCAGTGTCCTTTTTCCTTCCTCGGCTTGTCAGAGCAGCTGTCTCATAAATGCTCACTCACGGTGCTTTTGGATGGGGATAAGAACGTGTGAGAGCCTTTGTTCTGAAAAGAGGACGGGAAGTAGTCATTCTCACGAACGTCTGGAACTTGGTAAAGATGTAGGCAAGCAGTTCTTTTGTGTGTCTCCCACTCTGTGTCACGTACTGCCCCTCCCACACATTCCACCCGCGTTTTCTTCTGGAGCTTCCTGGTTGAGGAGAGAGCACGTGCAAACGACCAGCACAGGTGAAGGTAAGGCAGGAAGTGTTTAAAATCGATTTCCCTGAATCACGTTTAAAATCATGATTTATAATGATCCAACCAGAAAACAAAAGAATTGGATGTGATCTAAGCATGGATGAAAGTACTTAAGGATTCCTAATTTCTAATTATTTTTCCTCTCGTCTTCACAACCCAACTGTGTGTGTGTGTGTGTGTGTGTGTGTGTGTGTGTGTGTGTTTAATGAAACTGATGTGAAACGCCATCTACATCACCCTTAAGAAACATCAAGTAGAAGCTTAGTTCCTGGGTAAATTGTTACCTGAAGACATATATTTGAAGTAACAGCCTGTGATTATAAAGCAAAGTAATTATTAGATGAGAAATCATTCCACAGGATCAGTATGTCATGATGCATATTCAGCTGGCCGAGAAAGAACAACAAAAACCCCACCGTTGTAAGGGGTGTGTTTTTACACGTGAGGGTTCTTGTTAAGATTAATGATTTGTCTCAGATTTCCAATGTTCTCCAGCTATTGACAATGATGTCATGAACTTTTCAGGTGCCCTCTGCGGCTCAAGCAAGAGCTGTAATGGGCACACTCAGTTCAGAAAATCGAAGCAGAGAAAGGCTGGGGCTCTTCACCCTGTCTCCTTACTGCTGCCACGATCTGGATTTTAGCTGTCTTCCCAGGTACAGTAAAAGAAAAATAGGAAACACTGAAACACAAGCAGTGTTATTCATTCATCTACTCCGATCCCAAACAAGATACTCCAGGACTGAGTTTTCATAATATAGGGTAAAAAAAAAAATTAAAAAATGCATTAGATATTTTTTAAAGTTAAATCTACTAAATATAAAAGATGAGCTATGGCTTTTCTTTTTTGTATTAAAATACTCTTTCTTTTATGAAATGAAATCAAAATTCAGGTGGCAGTTTGGTGATTGTATTAATTTTCTTCATGTCCTTATTTGGCAAAATAAAGACGAGGCCACTCTATGTTAATACCTCATTTAAAAAAAAAAAACACTCAATTGTCCCAGGGCACCTTTCATCAATAATGATGATGATGATGATGATGATGATGCATTTTTCTTGGTGTTCTGAAACCCTTTTAGGAGCCCCATAACTAATTCTCCAATAAGCAACTAAGAATATGCCACAGGAACATGCATTTCGGTCAAACAAACCTAACCTCCAAAAAGCAACAGCATTCACATAGCCTAGCAGATGTGCAAGTTTATATGAAACACATAATTATATGAAACACATCTCACTGACACGACTAGTTGTTAAGCACCTTAAAATCCCCAAGGATGTCTCCAATTGCACAAACTTCACAGTGTAAAACATAGAGATGTGATGTGTGCCTCATTTTCTCATAAGCAAAAAAAAAGGGGGTGGGGGGCGGGTGCGTAGATGATCCTTAAACCCCCTTCCAAATGACACTGGAATCGGTGTGATTCAAAGTTTCAGGTAGTTAACTCCTATGTGTGGTCCTGGAAAACTAGATAAAGAATCTAACCTAACTTACACAAACTAACCTACATATTCAAAAACTATCTTAAACAAAAAAAGTGAGCCAGGTCAGCATAAACAAGATGCAATACAGTAATGGCAAGGGAACCGATGGAAGTGCACTTAACTGCTTCCACAGTCTCGATGCAGACAGATAATTTGCACTGCAGTTCCAGCTAACGTGGCAGAGGGAGGGGTTTGGGAACGTGTTCTTTTTTTTTTTTTTTTAATTTAGATGCTTTCTCCCTTCCACAGTGAAGGCCATGAAACAAAAATTGAGTTACAGGAACGACCAAGGAACCACACCTAATACGATTCAGGGAGAATGGGTGTAGGGAGATGGAAAATAAGCATTCTGATACCTATCAGAAAGGAGAGAAAAATGAAGCTCAGAGTGAAAAAGCAAAATAAAACACTGCTGAGTGAGCAGGCTCATATAGCAAGAAGCAGAGATGGCCAAGTGGAAGGGTTTGCTGAATGTGTAGCAGCGCTGCCCCCAATGAATGATTTCCGAGGGAGGGTTCCACCCTCCCAGCTGAGACAAGCTATTGCATCAGGCGCCGCTCGTGCAGGAGGAGAAACCCGTGTGTAGTTTACTACAAGGTCATCGATCCCAACCTGCCTGGTGTTTACTACAAGGTCATCCTCGCCAGCGCTGGGCTCTCCCCGCCTGGACGTGGGAATCCCTCTGACACAGCCTTTTCCTTGTCTTCCCCAGGCCCTGCCCGGGGAGAAGCCGGCCTGCGCACACCGCCAAGTCCTCCGGCGCAGGAACCCTCCCTCCCTCCCTCCCGCCGGCAAAATCAAGTTTCAGAAAGTTCCATTCGGAGGGCCGGCTTCGCCAGGAACCCGGCAGCATGCACGGTTTCCCGGGCTCGCGATCTGAAGGGGCTCGCTCACTCCCCAGGGCCCTTTCGGAACCCGACAGAGAGAAGGACCGAGAACTCCCATCGTTATCAGAAAGGGGCCCGGTCAACACCTCCCACACCCACGTTCCAACTTTTTTTTTTCTTATAATCTTCTCGGCCTGTCATTCGGCTAAGCAAGGAATGCAGGAAGATGCCCAGGAGGACACATGCTGGAGATTAAAGGCAGGAACCCGCAGTCCCGGCTGACCGGGCAGCTCGCCCCCCGGGGCGCACAAAGCCCGCAGCCCAGGTTGGAAAACCGACGGGGAGGAGGGTCCTGAGCCGGGATCGGAGGGACCCGGGGGACCCAGATCCAGCCCCGCCGGAGAGGAGGAGGGAGGAGGCGTGGGCAGGAGCCAGGGCCGGGGAAGGGGACCAGATCGCGGGCGGAGGGAGCCGCCCACGAGGAGGGGAGGACGGGGGTCCTCGGGAGGGAAGGTGGCCGACGCGCGCGGGGGGCGCAAAGGTGATGCCAGGAAGCCTAGGGCTCCCAGAGAGGGGTCGCCGGCGAGGGGCAGGGATGCGCGGGGAGGAGGGAATCGGGAGGGAAGGGGAGGCAGCGCGGGGGGAGAAGGGGAAGGCGCGGGACGCCGGTACCTGCTGGCGCACGGCGAGCCGGAGCGGGGCCAGCACCTCCTCATCCCCGGCGCCGTCCATGCTGCTCGGGGAGGCGGCCGCGGGGAACGAGGTCGGGCCGGGGGCGCGCGTGCCGAGGGGCCTGCGGGGCGGGGCCGGAGGCGGGGGCGGGAGCCGGGCCGGGAGCCGGGGCGGCGGCGACAGCAGCAGCGCGGCGCGGGCGGCTCTAAGTAGCGCCGGGCGCGGGCAGGGCATGGGCCGGCGGGCCTGGGCGCGGCGGCGGCGGCGGCGGCGGAAGCGGCGCGCGCGGCCCGGCCCGGAGCATGATGAAATCGCCGCGTAAACGCCGCGGCGCGCGCGCAGCCGCACTTTCCACACGGGGGCGCGGCGCGGCGCCGGGTCGCCGCCGGCAGATTCGACACAGAAACCCGGAAGGACCCGGGATCCTCCAGCCCCGGGAGGTTAGGTTCCCCTCGGGGCGCCCGGGAGAGCTGTGGGGACTCAGAGAGCCCCCCCCACCCCACCGCGAACATAGTTGCATAGGGATGCGCCAGGTCACCCCAATAATGTGGACATCCCTGGACGCAGCTCCATCCGAGACTTGCAGAAGCGTCTGATCTCTCGTCCCTTGCGCTTTCCAGGGTCATCAAACACCAAGTCGTGTAGGGACTTAGAGTCAGTGCTGCTCCAGCTCAGCCGTCCCTCAGAAGAGGAAACAGGCTGGAGAGGTAGGTGATTTGCCCTACTCCACTCATCCATGCCTTGCCAATGTCCAGACAAAAGCTGCGGAAGGGAGAGGAGGAGCACGCACGGGCTTTTTGGAGATCAGTACCCTTCAGCGTGTGCAGAATTTGAACCAGCGTGGACGAGGAAAGGCTAGGGGCAGAGAGATGATAAACGGCTGGGGAACGTGATGATGCAGGGTGTGGCGAGGAGCATCCTGGGGCGCGGGACTCCTGCGTGGCCCGGCATCAGCGGACCCGCCTCCTGTGATTAGGCCACAGCCCTGCGATGCCTCACTCCCTTCCTCCTGTCCCCAGGGTGGGCTGGCTAGCCAGAAAAGCTGAATTCCCTCTGCATCGAGGGAGTACAAAATAATGTGTTGGGCCAATTTCGATTTTTTCATTTTACATTCCCAGTTTTTTGTTTGTTTTTTTCTGTACTCTTTCTTCTAGGAGGCAATCATTTTGTTGTTTTGAAATGACTGGCAATTGTTTGGTGACAGCTTTCATCAGCTCTTCGGCAGCATTTTCCTTTTTAAAATATTTTTATACAATTCCTTTTTTATAATATATATATATATATATATATATATATATATATATATATATATATATATATATATATATTTCAGAGAGGAAGAGAAGGAGAGAAACATCAATGATAAAAGAGAATCATTCAGCCGAAACCGGTTTGGCTCAGTGGTAGAGCGTAGGTCTGTGGACTGAAAGGTCCCAGGTTTGATTCCGGTCAAGGGCATGTACATTGGTTGCGGGCACATCCCCAGTAGTGGATGTGCAAGACGCAGCTGGTCCATGTTTCTCTCTCATCATTTCTGGCTCTCTATCTCTCTCCCTTCCTCCTCTCTGTAAAATATCAATAAAATATATATATATTTTTAAAAAAAGAGAATCATTCATTGATCACCTGCCTCCTGCATGCCCCACACTGGGGATCAAGTCCACAACCCTGGCATGTGCCATCTGCCTGACGGGAAATCCATCCCTGACTTCCTGGTTCATAGGTTGAGGCTCAACCACTGAGCCACGTGGGCTGGGCTATGCAATTCCTTTTTTAAATTAAATTTCTTGGGGTGACATTGCACAGCAGCATTTTCCTGGTGACGATTCTGCATCTGCCACATGCTTTGCCTGTCCCTTTTCTAAGCTTATATATTTATTAGTATATAAGAGAGATCCTTATATATCAGAGAGATCCTTTGCAGCTTCCTTTCTGATGACTCATCTTTTGAGTGAGTGGCATTTTTCCTGGACCAGCTCTTTGCTGAAGCCTCACGTGGGAGAGGTGAGGTGTTTCCCATTAGCTGGAATTTTCCTCTGGACCCAGGGTTTTAGATGTGAGCTTGACCAGCCTTCAGTTCTCAGCACAGGCTCATCTGGGCACCCCCGGTAACACGAAGACACTGCCTCCGTGAATGTTTGCATGATTTAATTTTCACTCATTTCTTTCATTTGCTGCCTAAACGATGAGAGGGAAGTGTATGTCCCAGGGCTGGGGCAGAGGAGAGGCAGAGGGTGGGAAGGTTGTACCTCGGCCACACCACTGCCACTTTTCAGCAGCGTGGGCAGGAGCTGCAGCAGCGGAAGACACAGCTTCTGCCACGGGTCCATATGTCCATATCCCCGGGGTGAGATGCCCCCGCCCAGCAGGGAGGACAAGAGCTACTCTCTCTGCCAGGAACGGGGGCTCACCACAGGGGCCAAGGGGACCACAGCAGGCTTCAGCATCATGTCAACTGACAATCTTAGGTTACAGGGGACAGACACCATCCCGGCCAATGCATCGACACCCAGCTTTCCTTTCTCCATCCACCTTCCACATGTTCCTGATGTAGCCACTGTCACATCTCTCCTCCACCTGGCCCTGGATCCCAGCTGGACCAAGAACCTTTTCAGAACCAGTTAGGAGTCTGAATGCTTGGACATCTTAATTCCAGGATAATCTAGTGTGGATCCCGGAGTCAAAGGAGGAATAGAACACCAGACTCTGTATTGAGGGAGCTGCTCTGGACTTTCCATGTCTCTCGGGGGCCTCAAGTTTCCTGGAAAGAGAGTCTATGTTTACTAATCATGAGGAAAGAACTAAAATGCATTAGCTAACAAAGGCTAATGTCAACTATTTTGATTTTGCTTTCTATAGAAGAAATGTCGGAGAGGCATCATGCTTGAGTTTATCCTCCCAAGAGAATGAATGTCTGACTTCACTCACTCAACATGAAGATCAAAGGAGCCAAATGCTAGCACAGCCAAGTGTGATCCCCGCTAACCCTACACTCTTTACCATGAGAAAACCCAGCCACCCTGTCCACCATGGGTTTCAAATTAAAATATGACCCATCTCTGGAAATGTCTATTTCTTTTTTATAAACTATCCATATACTCTAGGTTCTTCTGGCCCTTGGGTCTTTGTGTGGCTATTAAAAAGATTTTATCTTGACTTAATGACCCCATCCATATACCCTCCTGCCATGAGCGATGTGGAGTTCAGGTGAAATGCTTTCTGGAGGTCTGCCTAAAGCCAACTTGGCAGTCTAAGGCAACCTTTCGGACCTCATGGACCACCAGTGGTCTGCGGACCACCGGCTGGCAACCGCTGGTCTAAGAGGAACAAAAAAAAAAAGTTGCCTCTTTGAGAACTCGTTAATAGTAATGTAAAGGGGAGGAAAGAATTCTTGGTCACACTCTTGAGGGCTCAGTGACCTGAAGGCTGTGCCTGCTGGTGTAGTGCTGCCACCTGGTGGAAATGATGATTTAGGACACTGTGTCCATCAAGACCAGTTCCAAGACAGACATTCCCTGGGATGGAAGAGGGAGAGATTACTTGGAAAGAAATTTGCAAGGATTTACAAGTCTTGCATTCTCAGGTAGGGACAAGAGTTAAAACTGCTACAAGACTCCCTAATTCTCCCCACATCCTGGTAAAGGCTGGAAAAACCCGGTAATGTATATTTTCCTATACTTATAAGAATGTTTTCTTTTATACTGTATTATAGGTAAAACCTCGATCTCACAGACTAATTCGGGTGAGGAGGTGTCCTTTAAAGCTGAAAGTCCATTATATAATAAAAGAGGTTTCCCACATGTGTATGTTAAAAAAATTGGCAAATTAGTTTGCCTGTTTTTACTTATGAAGACAGGCTTGTGTAATTAAATTTAAGTCTGTAGAAAAGTTTAATTTCACAGAAGAGTTTTTTTATATGTATGACTGCCATGAATAAACAAAGAAAATCGGTCATTTTCTTTTTGTGCCTATCTTCCTTTATGTCAGACCCAACCACAAAAAGTCACACTTGCTGTTACAACTATATCAGACTCCATGGAATGAGTATTCATCTCAAGTATGAAATCTGGGCCAGCCTGACACCGCCCGTGGGGCCAACTGCTGATAGGAGTGTAGATGAGGATGGCTCAGGCTCACCTTGGAAAAGGACTCCCTGCTGTCAAAATGATTTGCAACAACTATACTGAGGAAGAGGGGCACGCTATCAGAGGAAACTACGTTAAGAGAAAAATTATATGTATTCTGCAACAAACATATTGCAAAAATGGGAAACCCACAGACTCGCACTGCCCTGGGCTCTCCGAAGGCCCACCAGGCACTGAGTCACTGTGTCTCCTTGCAGAAGGAGAGATCCTACTCTCCTTGGGAGCTTACCTTCTCTCTGCACCGATTCTGTTTGCATATTGGGAAAACTGAAACTTCACTGCAAAATGGGTACCTTTTCTCCCTTACACAATAGAGGCCATTCATCTATTCATCCTTTCACTCAGTTATGGAATAATTTAGTGACTCATGTAATGCCTATTCAGTAATGGGACAGGTATGTACTATGTGCTGGGAAGAAAAAGATGACTACTCCTCAGTATTGAGCAGAAGCAAAATGGCCTGCTCACTCGTGGTAAACACCCAATAAATAGTTGTTGAATGAATGATAGTTCCTGCCCTCTGTAATAATACTGGTCTAGTTGGGGAAGGAAACATGTCAACGAATAAATTGTTTTAATAAAATAGTAGTCAATCAAGTATTATAAATATAGAAGACTGTATTTACCTGGAAGTTAGGGACGGGTTTGATAGAAGAGGTAACATTTATTTAATTTTGATGAATAAATAAGAAATTTCCAGGAAAGTTAAAAAGGCAAAGTCTTTACAGGCAGACCAGAACTACTCACAGTTCCTATTTTTTAGCAGGATTCCTTCCATTCCGGTCTAGTCCTAATTTGCTGATATAAATGTTAACAACTATTTTGCTAGGTTTCAGTCTTTTGAGTTTATTTTTACTTTTGTTCCCTAGGCATTGGGAGGTCAGCAAAGTTATATGCAAAACAACTCTACAAAACACATTATTTTTGACAGTGGATGAAATTATTTAAAGGAAAAAAAAAAGATGTGTTCTGTTTCATCCTAAGAAATGTTTTAATTCCTCATAATTTTATGAGGAATTAAAACATTTGGGAGATATTCTTCCTAAAAATGACCTCCCTCGGAGGGAGTCCTAATAGAAGGTGACAGGA